GATGGATGTATAAGAGTTGTACAAGCCCCCAATAAAATGATTTAGAAAGAAAGAAAGAAGATGATGATGGTAACATATATACATATGTGATTGATATAATGGATGCATGGCGTGTTACAAGAGCTGTAAGAGGCCCCAATAAAATGGTCTTTAAACCAGCAAGCAAACAAAGTCTGTTCTGCTGCAGTCAATTCCCTTGTGGCTTTCACACTAGGCTGCTTGTCTCAGTGAAGAAAGGGAAGTCCGTGACTCTCACCCTGGATCAAGAGATGTCCTTTACAGTTTTGCTGCATCGTGTTTGGAAGAAACATCCGATCAATGTAGACTTTTTGGGGATCTACATTCCCCCCACAAACAAGTTTTCACCCAGTGTGCACGGACTAATAGGTAAAGTATTAAACCACCTGGCAAGTGTGGGTAACAGCTAGGCGTTAGTCACTCTCGGATGACGGTAGTTAAAAATGGGGAAATGGCACAGAAAGGAGCTAACCTACTGATGGAGGTGCCTCAGGCCTGGAACAGATGGACCATCTACCTTTCCAGACAAGGTGTTCCCCGAACCAGTATTCAAGAATCACAGAGAGGGTGTTAAATCTAAGAAAAACCAAACCAATGCTGACTCATGGTGACCTGATAGGTTGCAGAGGCAATCGATGCTCTCTAGGGTTGGCAATCGCTCTGTTTTTCTGAAAGTAGATCCCCAGGACTTTACTCTGAGGCACCTCTGGGTGGACTTGAACCACCAACGTTGTGGTTAGTAGCCAAATGTCACCTAGGCTGCCAGGTGAAGAGAGAGGAAGATCACCAGGACACATGTGTTTTCAGTTTTAGGCTACATCATAGTTTCAATGGAAGAGAGGGGAACATTCCCTAGTTTTCTAGGATTGGGTTCAAATGTAACAATATGGCACCACAATCAATCCTCGTTCCTATGATTAGAACGAGGCTTTTAGGGGCGAACCTTCCCCCCACTCCCATCAGTGCTTTCCTTTTACTGGTAGTTTTGGCAGATTGCTTTTATATCTAAAATCACCAAAAAGGCCACCCCGCCCCCATGGCAGTAGAGTTGATTACCTCGCAGAGTGACCCAAAAGGACCGAAAAGAACTGTGGTGCAGGGTTTCCGGGTGTGACCCACAGGAGCTGACTGCCCCACCTTTCTCCCACCAAGCCCGGCTGGGTTAGCAGCCCCGCCCTTCAATCACTCTCAGCAACAGCATGGAATTGCTCTGAGGGGACCCCACCTCTCCCAATGCTGCTTCCCACCCCTTCCAACTGGCGTTTACCCTAAAATTCTGGAAGTCCAAAGTCTAGCGTGACTCAAGAGCCTGTCTTTGAACTTAACTGTGGATTCCATGTCTGGACTGTTTCCCTAGGCCAGTTCATGCATGAGCCCAAGATACATGTTTTCAATGAGAGACCGGGAAAGAACCCTAAGAAGCCAGAGGCAAGCATGGAAGTGAAAGGACACAAGCTGACTGTCACCAGGTAAGCCTCAGTGCACAGCGAGGCAACACAAAGGGGGGCTATTCGGGTTGATGCGCATTCCAAAGTCGAAGAGCAAGAAAAACTCTCTCTAGCATGACACCCCTCAAACGACACAGTGCATTAGGAATAGAGAGATGCCTGTATACTTTTAAATGAAAGACACTGTGGATAGCTCATCTTTATTTATTTATTTTTAAATCATTTTATTGGGGGTTCGTAAAACTCTTATCACAATCCATACATCCATCCATGTGTCAAGCACATTTGCACATTTGTTGCCATCATCATTCTCAGAACATTTGCTTTCTACCTGAGCTCTTGCTACCAGCAGCTGCTCTTTTTTTCCCCTCCCTTGCCGCCATCCCCTCCCTCATGAACTCTTGATAATTTATAAATTATTATTATTTTGTCATGTCTTACACTGTCCGACGTCTCCCTTCACCCACTTTTCTTTTGTCTGTCCCCCAGGGAGAAGGTTATATGTAGATCCTTGTAATTGGTTCCCCCTTTCTACCCCACCTCCCCTCCACCCTCTTGGTATCGCCACTGGAAGGGATCATCTGTCCTGGATTCCCTGTGCTTCCACTTCCTATCTGTACCAGTGTACATCCTCTGGTCTAGCCAGATTTGTAAGGTAGAATTGGGATCATGATAGTGGGGAGGAGGATGCTTTAAGAACTAGAGGAAAGTTGTATGTTTTATCATTGCTACACTGCACCTGACTGGCCTGTCTCCTCCCCACAACCCTTCTGTAAGGGGATGTCCAGTTGCCAAAGGTGGTCTTTGTGTCCTTACTCCACACTCCCCCTCATTCACAATGATTTGATTTTTTTTTTCTTTAATACCTTATACCTGATCCCTTCAATACCTCGTGATCACACAGGTTGGTGTGCTTCTTCCATGTGGGCTTTGTTGCTTCTGAGCTAGATGGCTGCTTGTTTACATTCAAGCCTTTAAACCTCCGATGCTAGATAACTCATCTTTAAATATAAATAAAGACTAGATATGAAATGCGTCATAAAATGCCAATATCAATAAGCATGTATCAGTTGTTCTCATCTACTTGTATTAGAAGCATTATGGTGACAAATTGGATCATTGGAAAAAAGGAATTATTAAAATTACTATGTACCATTGTGCTTGAGAGTGAATGTAATTTTTATGTACGACAGAACCTGCTTTTTGATGATTATGCATCTACTGAATGCATTTTTGAGGGCTTTTTTTAAACAAACCCTATCATAATGCACCTTTTGAAATGAGATCATCGATATTTGAAAAGTATTCCATGTGTAAAACTCTTTTAAATTTAAATTTCTTACTTGTTTTACATGTAATTTGATATTATTTTTAGCACTGTTTCCCTACTTAGAGATTTTACAAAGCAGCCAACTTTGCTTTCTTCAAGATAACTCAAATGATACAAATGTCAGACTTCCATCTATGTAATTAAACTATATTACATTATAATAGTAATTGCATCATAAAACTTCAATCAGTAGTCCAGCAAAAATAGATTTGTAGGCAAAAAGATCTCTTGGTGAGCATACTACTCACCTACTAGCCTACTAGAGAGCAGTCAAGTAATCAATAAACATCAGCGAACATTCAAATAATCAATAAACATCAGTGAACATGTGTTATAGAAGAAGTGGTTTGAATCCCCTCCCTGGGGGACAGACAACAGAAAAGTGAATGAAGGGAGACATCGGACAGTGTGAGACATGAAAAAATAATAATAATTTATAAATTATCAAGGGTTAGTGAGGGAGGAGGGTCTGGGGGTGGAGGGGAAAAAATGAGTAGCTGATACCAAGGGCTCAAGTAGAAAGCATATGTTTTGAGAATGATGATGGCAACAAATGTACAAATGTGCTTGACACAATGGATGGATGGATTGTAATAAAAGTTGTACAAGCCCCCAATAAAATGATTTTTAAAAGAATTTAAACAACAACAACAACAACAAAACCAGATTTGTCCTGCAAAAAAAAAGAAAGAAAGAAAAGGATTTCTTAAGGGGAACTGATATCAAAGAGTTAAAGAAGAAATGTTTTGAAAATGATGGTGGCAGCAGTTTTACAATTATGCTTGATCTAATTGAATTATGGATTGTTATATTATCTGTAAGACCTCCCAATAAAATGATTTTTTTTTAATTTTAAAAAGAAAGAAGTGGTCTGAATCACTTAATAAAGGTATTAGAAGTTGGTATGAGAGCATCTATTATAAACTAATGTCAAAAGGCAAATATTCGATTACCATTTCAGCTTATGGAGCACACTTCCTGATACATACTGAGGCTGAGGTGCCCTGTGGGCTATGTGTAATTATATAGATTTCTGACACTTACAAAGCTCTTTTAGCATTACTGATAAATACCTAGAAGGAACGCCACTCCACTAGAAGCCTCAGCCCTGCTGCTTGCCTCTTACTCCTGGAAGCATCCCACTCTACAAGCGAGCCTTAGGCTGAAGACACTCGGTTTTACTTGCTTTGTGGGTCAGGAAGCCTGCCACTCTGCCTCATGCCCTGCGTCGTGTTCTGCTACCTCTGGTGCCACCAATCCTCTGAGGTCACAGCTCTTGGATTGAGGAAGCTTCTCAAAACTGAGACTCACTGCGATAGAGCCGATTCCAACTCAGAGAGATCCTGTAGGTCCTGGTAGAACTGCCCTGGTGGGTTTCCGAGACTGTAACTCTTCATGGGAATAGAAAGTCTCATCTTTCTCCTGCCGAACAGCTGGTGGTTTTGAACTGCTGGCCTTGAAGTTAGCAATCTTTTAGGGTCCAGAGGACACAGCTTACTCCTGACTTTTCTTTCTTAATGGCAGTGAGAGCTCCCTTCCTGCTTCTGAGATACGCATTTTAAACCCAGTGGGATGGCAAAACTGACCATTCCCCACATTATAGTTCATAAAGCCCCAATGCCCATGTTATAGTTTCACAAACTTGATCAGCATGGTCCTAGCCAGTTATCTGAACATGGCCCCATCCCGTGGTCTGGTGGGACATATGAAGACTATGGCAAGAAGAGCCATGTGAAACCATTCATCATTGCACAGCAAGGTTATTTGAATTATCTAAATGTGAAATAATTATTCTTGGTCATTTCAATACTTACCTCCAGGTTCTGATGCTTCATTCAACTTAGGGAGCTAGAATGGATGGGAGCAAGGATGAATGGGATGCATAACTCTTTTATATATTTAAAGCATTGAATTGTATGGACGGTACATGAATGATTTGCCACCAAGCTGGTTTTCTTTAAGAGATGAGTGAATTAAGAGGGGAACACATGGTGATCGAACACCAGGTCTTGGTCTCTCCCCTGACCATGCGTATCCTTCCCCTTGCAGAGGCTTACAGAAAGACTACAGAGCTGATATAGTCTTTGGAACGGACGTGCCCTGCTGGTTCGTGCATAACAGTGGAAAGGGTTTCATCGATGGACATTACAAGGATTACCTGGTGCCGCGGCTCTATAGTTATCTTAAAAGGCCGTAAGAGTTTTCTAAATAAAGTTTTGGAATTCATTTGTATAAATACAATTTTTCCCTGACACTTTGTCATCGTTCTTCAGTCATCAAAGGGGAACCATACTTTGTGGTAGTTTATCGAACCTGATGCAATAGTTAAAGAAATACTTTGCAAAGAAGCTTAAGGAGTTTGTTACATTTTCAGCCCTAGGGTGTGTAAAACAGGGAGGTGTACAGAAAACCTGGCCTCCAGATCTGGCATTTCCTGTGATCTCGCTATGTATTATTGAGTGTCAGATCCTCAGCCTTGCCAATAGAGTAGGTTTTATGCTCTCGGTTATATGGAAAGTTCAATTAAAAAACAAAACAAAATAACAATCTTGCTGCTGAGTTGATTCCTATTCATTGTGACCCAGTAGGACAGTTTCTGAAACTGTAACGTTTCATAGGAGCAGAAAACATCTTCATCCCTCGGAACAGTTGGCAATTTCCACGGCTGACTTTGCAGTTAGCAGTCCACCTTGTAACCCACCATGCCCTCAGGGCTCCTGGTCCGTGCAGCTGAGAGAGAAGTCGTTGATGAGCTTGGAATGAGGAGGAGGAAAGTTACCTGATCTTTGTAGCTAAGACATACAGGCACATCTCCTTATATTGCACTTTGATTATTGTGTGTGTGCTTTGCAGATACTGGGTCTTTTTTCCAGTACAATGTGCTCCCTTCATCTCTCTGTGTTACATTTTGGTCATTTTCACAATATTGCCAACTTTTTTCATAATTTAATGGAGACTTTTAATAGAGATAATGGTTTACCCAAAACCAAACCAAACCAACCAGCACAGAGTCAATATGACTCATAGTGACCTGTAGGAGAGTTTCTAAGGCTGTAAGTCTTTCTCTTGTGGAGAAGCTGGTGGGTTGTACTGCTGACCCTTTGGTCATTTGGGGACCAAAAGTGTACTTGTATGCCCAAAGAAGCATGTGACTCGCTTTATTTTGGTTTGTTGGTTGTGGTATTCGAATGGTCTGGAACTGAACATACAGTATCTCCCAGGTACTCCTGTACTAAAATTCTAACACCACTTAGAGAGAGCCTTGCCAAAGTAGCCGTGATACCATAGGACAATGGCCAAGATTCCCTCCAGATTCTTGATGCCTTAGTGGATTAACCTGTCTATTCAGTCATTCTACAGATCAAGCGTAATACAATTGGGTCCGTTTCTGCCTAATGAATTATAGTCACACTGCGACTCCCTGACTACATGAAAAGATCCCCTCAGGGATTTTGGTGCTCTTCGCAGATTTAAAATCACTGGGATCCTAGCTCAGATGGGTAATTGCATTCAACAGTATTTCCTATCAATGAATTCTGAGAGATTCAGAATCCCAGATTCTCTGGAAGCCTCTTCAGCCTGAGCCAAATTTCACACTTTGATGTGTAGATTTATTGTGCCAACCTGGCCAGTAGACATGTAGGCTTAATCAGGTCAGTTTGATTGGAGGGCAAAGAGATAAATGACTCTGCAAGGCCTGCCCCCTCCCCCCCCCCACTATTGCTCTCTGGTGATCTGAGAGTGCTGGAGCATGCGTGCTGCTGCTGTAGCTAGTTCTCTGCCTCTACCTGTGAGTTACACTACCTGTGGACCAGGCCAATCTATGGACCCTGTCACTGGAGCTTGAGGCTCCTTTGAGACCCGCTTCACCAGCTCTGCTGGTGCACACATCACTTGAGCTTGAGGCTGGTGGATTCTGTTGACTTGCATTGCTTGCATTTGAGGTCCCACTGGGCCGCTTTGCCAAGCTCCCAAGCTACTGACTGTTAGTGACCCACCCTGCTGTTTGCTGCCTGTGGGCAGACTCAGCTTGCCTAGCCCCTGGGAGGACTCTGCTGTCTGCTTCCTTGACCTTGGACCTGGCAGCTCACTTGAGTTGAAGGACTTGCGGTATATTAACTGTTCCACAGAAGTCAGTTGAACGGAGCCCTCTGTACTGCTGTGTGAACTAATTAGCTGTTATAGTCCTTCTCACTGTATAAACTTATCCTCATATGTATATAATCATAAGTGTCCTGGGTTTGTTTCTCTAGAGAACCCTGCCTAACACACACACAGATTTAACCTCCCTGGAACAGTATTCCTCGTCACTCCTGGGAGTCCTTCTGTTTGTATTTCCCAATTCCAAAGAGTAAGATAGTAAACATTCTATTACTTAATCTAAAAACAGTTTCACTAACAAATGATGCCACAACGAAAGACTAATGGCATTTAAAAAGCAGAATCATGAATTTTAAGCAAAATGTGGTGGCTTTACTACGTCCACATTACTAGAGTGAAATGGGTGATAACAGCAAGTCTAATTCATTGTAAGTCTGTGCTTTTACTCATAACTTTTCTTTAAAATTAAATCTCTAAAATAAATATGTACTTTGAAAGCCCAAAGTAGTCAAATATCACTCTTAACCCCTCTATTAAAGGTTCATTTTTATGAACCTTACTTTCTATAATTTGATAAAAATCTACTTTTCATTTTAGAAAGTAAGACAAAATTCTCCATTCCTGGACATAAACAACCTATATTTGAAATAAAAACAAAAGGTAACATATCAAGGCTTCATTGTATAAGACTAAAGTGATTATTTCTGTAACCGAAGATAGGCTCATTACTGAAGAGGTAAATAGAACTCATTTTGGTTTCATTCTCTCATAAAACCTGGCCAGCTGAGGTGTCAAAGGGATGAGGTATCAGGCATCAAAGAACAAAAAATCATATTGTGAATGGGGGGGGAGTGCAGAGTGGGGACCCAAAGCCCATCTGTAGGCAACTGGACATCCTCTTACTGAAGGGTCACAGGGAGATGAGTCACTCAGGGTGCAGTGTAGCAACAATGAAGCACACAACTTTCCTCTAGTTCTTAAATGCTTCCTTATCCTCCCCCCCGACTATCCTGATCCCAATTCTACCTTACAAATCTGGCTAGACCAGAGGATGTACACTGGTACAGATAGCAACTGGAAACACAGGGAATCTAGGACAGATGAACCCCTCAGGACCAGTGGTGAGAGTGGTGATACCGGCAGGGTGGAGGGAAGGTGGGGTAGAAAGGGGGAACCCGATTACAAGGATCTACATATAACCTCCTCCCTGGGGGATGGAAAACAGAAAAGTGGGTGAAGGGAGACATTGGACAGTGTAAGACATGACAAAGTAATAACTTATAAATTATCAAGAGTTCATGAGGGAGCGGGGAGGGGGAAAAATGAGGAGCTGATTCCAAGGGCTCAAGTGGAAAGCAAATGTTTTGAGAATGATGAGGGCAACAAGTGTACAAATGTGCTTGACACAATGGATGTATATATGGATTGCGATAAATGTTGTACGAGCCCCCAATAAAATGATTTCAATTAAAAAATGAAAAAAACAACAACAAAAAGAATTAGGAGGTAGTGATGAAGTATTTTTTCTGAATGGAAACCATTGAGTTGACTGCACACTTGTTTGGTGGGTGGCATATATGAAATCTGCCGTGTTCTAGTCCATTATCAGGGCCAACTAATCTTTTTAAAACTCTCCAGTCAAGTATTATTGATCGCCTCCCTCTGTCAGCAACACTCACTGCCACTTACTAAATACCTAGTCTTATATGGCATCTTTGAGACATGTCCTTTAGCATTCACAACTCTGCCAAGACATTTTCGGTAATTTAGAGATTAAGCCATTGAAATTCAAGAACGTTAACTTTCCTAGTAGAGTGAACAGCCCAAATTCAACCTCAAGTGGCCCAATTCTAAACCTAGACCCTTTCCATGACACGATGTTGCCGTTTCTTCAATACCTTCATTCATCTAGGAAGGGCTCTCTGTAAAGATACTACCATTCTGCACTGTTCTTTATACTGTCTCCAACAGTTGTTTCTACTTGCCAGCATATACGTCTCCATCTTCTGATCATGAGTTTACATTTTTACTAGGGAAACCATTCATTTCCCCTCACCTCTCGGCCCAAGAGAGATGACTCAGGGGTTGGCATATGAATCAGGTCTGGCCACTTAGTATGTAATAAAATAACAACTCAAACACACTACCTTTGAGATGATTCTGACTCAGCATCCCTATAGGACAGAGTAGAACTGCTCCTACTAAGACTTTAAATCTTTAAGGGAACAACTAGCCTCATCTTTTGCTTTCACAGCAACTAGTTACTTAGAACCGCTGACCCAGAAGTTAACAGTGCAATTCGGAATCCACTACACCACCAGGGCACCTTCCCACTCAGTATAGTCCAATCTTATTTAGAGGATAGTCCAGGTGCAGTGCAGTTAGACTCAGTTCCAGGTCTTTTGTTTGAACTACTATTGCATGTCATTTTTCACTGGTTAAGATGTAAACCTGGAGATACTGGTACATGAGAAGTGCCTGCGGATCAAGCTCACAAAGAAGAAGCCAGAGAAGTAGAGACCGGGTGCTTATACTCTGATCCCACAGAACCATTAGTTATCGAAACTAGACTTTTTCTTTTTTTGCATAAGCAAATATGACACGGGTCTTCTGTGTTCTGTACTCCTACGTAATATACTATCCCGTATGTTAAAAATGTATAGCTCAGCATTAAAACTTGGGTGTAAATAGCTAAGTGCTCAAGATGTTAACTGAAAGGTTCATGGTTCAGATCCACCTAGAGGGACCGTGGGTAAAAAGGCCTGGTGGTTTATGCAGGGGCAATGAATTACTGAACGTGGCTCTTCTGGCAAAGCTCTCTCACCAAGTGATCTTGCCCTCATGGGTCTGGTAAGGTGAAGATAGTAATAGGATTCACCTGTGAGTAGCTTCAAACAGGGACGGGCCGTTCTGTGTGTACATGACCGCTCTGAGAAGCAGGAGAGACATCACTACCAGCACGAGCTCCGTGGGGAGTGCATCCTCCAGCCCTAGACCCCTATGCAGTGAACCTCCTGGATTCAGAACCAGAAGCCAGAGCATGGAACAGAACCATGGACTTCCCAACCCACGGAGTAAGTAAAGCTGACTGCTTTTGTGCAGAGGGCTCACTTACAGAGTGGAGAGCCACTGGGCACTTAATCAGGGAAGT